GTATTAAACAAAATCTGTATTAAATAAAAGATGCAAACTCTATTAAAATGTACAATGCAATAGAGGGAATGCAGTTTCTAAGCATGGTAATTTTTTGGTTCTCAATTGTCCAGAAAGAAAGGGTGAGACTTCTATTGGGGGTGTGGCTTCTAATACAGATTTTTATCATGAGAACTGACACACAAATTATATCTTCAGCATGGCATTTATCTATTAAACTTTAGTGGGATGATGTTATTAACAATTCTCACATACTGGCATAAACAACATTAGAATTATGTAATTTCATCACCTAAATTGAGCAGTATAAAAAAAATCAGTATTGGAGCATGTAAGTTTGACTATTAGCCTGCAAGCAGACTGACATGGGTGGCTATGTTGATTAGAAGATGAGCAGTAGATACAGTAATGTATAATTCATTCTATTTTAGGAAATTTATCCAACTAAAAATAGAGAGTTTAAGTGATTTGGAATTCTCACTTCAAGAACCTGTTCTGTCTATTACCACGGTAACTGGTGATTCCGTCAAAGCTACTGCAATGCATAAGAACACTGACATGGTGAGTTATACTTATATGCTAAGATCTTTTTTTACAGAGATCCTTATCTCAAATTAGTATAATTGTATCTCAAATATTGTCCAATAGTATTTGAGTCCTAAGCTGCTTGGCTATATACTTGATCTACTGACATTCATTAATCTTTTGATTCATAATACGCTTAGCACGGGCCAAGGAATGCTAAGTACGGGTTAAATCTGATCCAAACGGGCTAACATAGTCAGCGCGAATGCTTAACCCAGGGCTAAGTGCCTTCTGTGGCGACCTTTGGGTGTGAAAATAATGCACGTGATCATATACGTCCAACTTTCTCATTCCCAAAGTTAACAGACCTGAAGTTTTCGAGAAATGTTGCATTGTCTCATGTGCGTATAACATTACTCAGCGCTCGCTTCCACACTGATCTGGGTCGCTGTAGTAGACTGGGTCGCTGTAGTAGAGCGTACAGCAGCTCCAATTGTGGACAAAATTAATTTGGTTCGCTGTCTACGACTTGCATTAATTAAATTCTGTATTCTGTTACGCCGTTGTATACTGTTTCTGTGCATCCAATTAAGTCTGTCTTCTCTCATGTTCCTGTGCACGTCGCTTCAAAATTAGAACGAAACATGCCAGCAGCAGAAATAAAACCTTGCGCGTGTCATCCATTTTTCGTTCGTAAATAGCAGCTTACCAAAGGTCACCGACTAATGCCACCCCTTAGCCCGCGCTAACGACTGGCCCTCCCTGTGCATGGACGCAATGGGTCTAGCCGAAATGCAAATATGCTAGATAAGCCAGCTTAAATCTTAGCCCGTACTTTGTGTAACGTGAACACAACTATAGTTATCGATATTTTTTTTTCCTCAGCAACTGATGCACAATACACCTATATCGTATGTGTGGACCTTAGACAGTACAATGGAAAACGGTCATTTAGATTGCAAATTTGAAGTTAATTACAAGCTATTACAAGAGGAAACCAACAGTACGATGCAACGCTGTTGTCATGCATTCTCACTGCATAGTCACCAGGTAGTGTATTTAAAAACAGTTTTCACTGAAAATATGTCTTAAATTAAGTAATCTTAATCATGCTTGTCTGCAATGAGACTTCAGTTTCTATTTTGTCTTGTTTGCGCAGACTGAATATGTCATAGAAAGTGAGGTGAAAGCACAGTCCACATCAAACTGCAAGGCTGGTACATTGTGTAACTTGCATTTCCATATCACACAAGTCCACGATGTTTCCACTAATGTCAAGAACACTTTACTGTATGAGATTGTATCAAGTGCTAGTCTGTGGGCAGTCTGTGGAAAAAGTTCTGGTGTCTTTACGTTACCTGCTGTGGCTGATGCATCACATGATATTAATCTAGAGGTCATGCCATTAATTGCTGGATATATACCTGTACCTAGTATGAAATTATCTAGGTACCTATCTGAAGATACCCCACTAACAGGTCAGTATTTTAAGTGTGCTCCACCTCAATTGCTTACTGGCACATTGTTTATTATCAGCTTATTTCATGTGATTTCAAAATTTGTTCATTTTTTAGTCATTTTTAGTCACGTTCTAAAACAGGTTTTGTCAATGTCCATTTTCTGTTTCCCGTCTACAACATTTTCTCAGAAATTCTGCAGCAGATATCAGTGAAACTTAGCAGATTGATGAACAAGTCTCTGCCAAGTATGCATGTAATTTTTATTCCAGATCTGAAAATCCCAAGTGCGTCTTTTTAGTTCCGCTGTCGCTATTGTCAAGCGGAGCTTATCATGAGTGATTGTTCGTCATCGTCCGTGTCAATGTTTTACTTTTTCGACTTCTTCTTGAAAACTACAAGCCTGAATGTTTTGATACTTGGTGTATATATGTACCTTGGGTAGACCTCTCTCAGATTTGTTCATTTCATGATGATATCTTCAATTCTCTAATTTTGGTGAATATTTTTGTCATTTTTGGTAAAAAGGGATATTTTCAACTTTTTGTTAAAAACCGCAAGTCCAATTGCTTTGATATTACATATATAAGTACTACATGTGGATGTCTCTCAGATTTGTTCATTTCATGATAATATCTTTAAATTTCTAATTTTGGTGAATATTTTTGTAATTTTTGGTAAAAAGTGATATTTTCGACTTCTTGTTAAAAACCACAATCATTTATAGTGAAAAATGATATTTTTGAATTCTTGTTGAAAACAAGTCCCATTGCATTGATACTATGCATATTGTTCATTTTCTAATGATATCTTCTGTTCTTTAATTGAAATGTGCATTGCTAACAGCGGAGCTATCTCAGCCGAGAGGCTGCTTGTTCAAGATTTTCATTCAAAATTACCTCTCCCTACTGCACTGACAGAGCAACTGAGCATGCTCAAAATAAATAATTAGCTTAGATTGTAATGCTAGGGTTTTTATTGATGTCATGACCTTGATCTGAATCAGGGACAGATGGGTTGAATCATTAGCAATCACAGTGGAAAATGTTGAGGGGTGTCAGGGCTACATATTTTGAAGGGAATTCTAGTGGTGATAATGAAACAAACCCAGGTCCTGGTAATATACAAAGACCTGAATTAACAAAGAAGTCAAGTTATAAAGGTACATCAAGGTTTACTCAGAGACATAGTTTGGTTGCACTTGTGTACTCTGAGATTTTGAACCCGGGTCAATGAAAGTAGAGTACATATTAATTCAATTGTTTGCTGATGTTGCATGTATTATTTTAATAATAATATTTTATAATTAAATATTGCGGACTGTGACATTCATGTCTTGTGAGTTTATTTACTTATTCATAGAATTTATGGTCAGGTCACCAAATGAACTATGTTTTGGCATCTTTGAACATTTCAGCTGTTGATGATAAATTATGCACATGATGTTAAAAGTGTCACTACAAGTATGTGCCCACTGCAGCTACCAGCCTTTACTCTGATAAATCACTATAATTATAAAATTTACCAATTTTTCATTCAGATAATGCAATCCAAGAAGCTGAACCTCAAGATTGCAAGATGAACAATGATGATACAAATAAACCACAGCTTGAAGAGTTTGGTGTTGGTCAGATTTATAACATTAGCAGAACAGTTCAAGTTCATGTCATGCCTGAATCTAATACAAGCACTGTTGAAGTTAGTGTACCTCAGTAGTTCTTGCATCTCAAGTAGGGGCCAACATAATGTGTGCAATTTGGCTGTTAAGCAGCTGCCTAGCTAAACAAAAATTAGAAACTTACCAAAGTAATAAGAAGTCTATGACTTATACACAAGCTGAAGGACATAAAGACAAAACATAACTAGACATTAAGACGAACATTTAAGACAAGACAGCAAGGCAAGACACCAAGAAAATACATCAAGACTAGACAGCAATACAATATATTATAATACAAGACATGACAGGACAGGATTCAGAGGGATATTGAAATCTTGAAATAAATGGGATGTAGAGTAGTGATGGCAGGAGTGAAAATGATGATGAGGAAAATATGATGATCATTCAAAAAGAAATTATTGTGACAGTGATGAAGTAGGTTGAGAGATAACCTTAGATGGGGGAAGATGTTATCACGTCACAAACAAGGGGATTATATTTTATGGGCTAGTATTGTTGTTTGTTTACTCTACTTCATGGATTTATAAACTTCTGTAATCTACTAAATAGTATTAAATCTATAGAATATGAAAACAATCATCGAAAACTGTTGATAATTTGATAAAGATATTTGTTTTTTGTTTTTGCTTTTGCAATAATTTACCGAAATTATCAATATTTTTTAAAATTTATTTGACAACATTTTTCATCATGGGTATACATGTATGGTGGACGGGTTAGCGTGATTCACAAATCACAAACCATGAATAAAACAAAATAACAGATCAACAAATTACAGTTCAACAAATTCAATACAAAATGTGGATCACCATTAGTGCAATGTTTTCAAGTATTGCTGTTGTCAGTATTTATGCCTAGCTGCCAAGTTTAATATATTGTTTTGTAATAATAATTTTCTTTTAAAATGCTTCAAACCTCATACCAAGCCTTACACTACACACTTCTCACCCCAGCCCTAATTTCTCCCCTAGTAATGCCTAATCCTAAATCAATGTTATATGTAATTAAAAATGGCAAACCTACTAGTATTTTACACCACTGGTTATGCTTTATTATTACATGTATTACGCTTTGTAGTCCACACTTTTTCTGAGATTTATTTAGTGATTTGTTCATTCATTAATTAAATCTTACCCATGGTGAACACATGATCATTACTTTATTCGTCATGACAATTTATTTGACATGGCTACTTTTTGTGCAAACATTGGCAAAGAGACAGAAAAACTGCTTTAGAAAGTATATTGTTTTGCAGCTATCAAGATGTATGTATATGTGTTTTAGGCATTTATTTATTGAAACTTTTACTGCATGGTTATGAGAGTGAACATTCCTTCTGCTGCATCCATTCATGTTCAAGTTTATGTGAAGCAGACTTTCTGGTGACTGAAAGTGTAGTATAGTATGTACACTTAAATAAATTGAAATTACCAGAAACTTCCTTGTGTCTTGTGTGAATTAATTAACAATGATTTAGCCAATAATCTGATACACTTGATTCTGTCTCTGCATAATTGCAACTTTACATTATAAAACAACTTCTACATTATTTTTATATTTTGTGTAAATGATAGGTACACAAATATTTGTGGAAGGGATACTTTAGAATGACATCATCTGTTGTACTTTTCCTTAACACATTACCATTTTTTGTGACAATACCTTAAATTCTCTAAATATATTATTGCATTGTTTCAGGATTTTTATACTTTTTCAGTTCCCGTTCAGATGCAGTCTGAAAACAGGGACTCAGACTCTGTGTGTGCGCGTCCAGACCTGTATCTTAGACATGCCTGGACTGATTACATTCAAACTTCACACATACATCATATATTATACTTATGCTCATCAATTTGTGGAATGGCTGTGACAAAAAATCATCAAAATCAAGCATTTTTGGCATTCCGGAACTGGATTTCGGCTGTTCAAGACAGATTTTGTTGTAACTTAGTTCATACATTGGACATTATAGGTCCCTCATACACTTCCAAATGGCTGACTGGCAGCCATTTTATTTTAATGAATGTGGTTCTGACATGCTTTGACTATACATCATACCGGTAGATATATAGATGTATTGGTTTGACAAACAAAACAAAGAAATAAGTGATAGACTCAATGCAGAGTAAATACATCAAAGAACTAAAAAATTACAACCAAATAAAGTCTAAAAAAAACAAAATATTTGTTTACATTGATATGAACTACTAAAATATTAATGAATAGAAATTCCATTAAATGAATACACAGGATGCTACATAAAGTAGATGTGCTTTAATAGAAAGTAAATGCCCTAATAAACTTGCGATAATGAGTTTGGTGTTCTTACATTTATTTTACACATCCATGATAGACATTATTTCCGTCTTTTTGTTATAAATAAAAACATGCCATTTCTTGTTTTGTAAACCATTTCTGAGATCGAATTAATTTGTTTTGTAGTGTCCACTGACAGATCAAAGTTATGCAGAATCGTTGCCATGACAATCTTCAACTCGCTCATTGCAAAGTTTTGACCAATACAATTCCTGGAATAAAAGGAATAAAATGATACTGGAAAAGTCCTCATCAGCAATTCAATGTCACTGACATATGTAATCATAAACAATGACTTCACTGAGCATAATAACCACCATTTTAAAAACACTGGTAAATATTTTGGCCACTTAAAAAATTCTGATCAATATTCTGGTCATTAAGAAAATAGTGGCCATTATAATGGCCAGAAGTGACTTTTTAAAGGGTTCTGAAGAGTGTAAAAAACAGAGTTAAAGTGAAATGAAAAATTATTATAACCTCCTCACTAACCTAAAAGCACAAATAAATATTCAAAAGTTTTGAAAATTAAAACTTTCCGAAACGCGACAGAATTTCCGAAAGTAATCCGGACGCTCTTTTAAATATATTTGCTACGATATACATATTTACATGTGTGTCGCATACGACTTATTTACCACTTCCGTGTCACTGAGAATGTTCTAGAACCGTACTGTGTTTGGGTGGAATATTCTAGATTTTTCTTTAGAAACTGGTTGAATAGGTAATAGAACACTGTAGGAGGCAATAGAAGGTAATGGAACATTCTAGAAATTTGTAGTAAGTTCCAGACTCATTATGTATGCTGATGTAATGGTCTATTTATAGACAGTGTGGGTATATATAGGGGAGTTGTTCAGCACTGAGTTCAGACCGGAGATCTCGTTGAATTGTATTGGAGTTTAAGTATCTAGTTATTGGAGTAGTGGAGTTTTACCGCGTTATTGTACTTGATGTTTGCAGAGTATAATAATACCAGTACCAGTTGAAACCTCATCTGTTGGCTCCGTGTTCGTATGTTATCATCGCTGCCAGGGAAATCTTTCTGTTACTGTTGCCATTTTGGTATTTGAACCATCACACTTGTACTATACCAATTACGATAATATTACGTTGCGTGTGACAATGTGGATACATTATAAAGTGCATACGATACTATCCTACGATTACAGATTAAAATATGAAATCGTATTATATAAACATATCAGACTAGCTTATAATCTGCAATAAACCACCAAGTTTAGAAGAATAAAGAAATGACACTACCAAGTAGTTTTCAAATACCTTGGTCCAGCTGAAAATGGTACATAAGCATGTGGGGATCGATCTTTCACATTCTCAGGTAGAAATCTAGATGGATCGTACACTTCCGGATTGTCCCATACAGTGTTGTTATGATGCAGTCCATATATATTGATGGTAATTGACATACCTGAAACAAACACACAATGTGCCAACACCAACTGAATTATTTGTTTACAGTACAACATCACAGCACAATTTTATTTGCTAAAATAGCTAGTGTAAATATGTTAATTCTATAATGTGTTTTCAAACACAACTTGCCTGCGGGTAAAAATCTACCATCAGGTAAATACAATGCCTTCGTCAGACTGCGTCCAATGAATGGGACTGCTGGATTTATTCGTAAACTTTCTTTGATGCATAGCGTAAGATAGGGGAGATTATGAAGATCATCCCTTTGGAAAGATTAAAATAAAAATGTGATATGGAGGAATGATTAAAATGCTTCATAATGTTATATTCAAATGATGAAAACAATATTAATGTTATCAATTGCAAAGTGGAAAAATCTTG